CTGTAGGCAATTGCACCTTTGCCTCCCCCTCCCCCCCCGAGCAGAGAGATTTTACAAAATTGCAAGATTCTGTCATTGTAGTCTTACAATAAAGTAGAATTAGCTCATCTGGTTCTGATTCCTATCTGGTTTGCCCTGGAAGGCTGACATCAATCTTGCAAGTCCGAAAATACAATCCTCCCTGCCGTCTCCTATACAGGCTGAGAAATTAGGGAGTGTCTCTTCTGAGCATCTTGCCTGCCCGCTATTTACTTGTGAGCTACGCGGTCTCTTATCTGACCATTCCCTTGGCAGCGTCTCTTTGCCCAGTCTCCCAAGGTCTTTCCCACATACCATTACAATCAAGAGTCCAATGCAATCTTTTAAAATTGCAATGCCTTTGTTTTTTCATGATTGATCTGTAATGAATGTTCTTTGCAGAAATGGGCCAGAGATCCCATGGCCCTCCTGAGACCTGTCAGCATTTTTGATAATCGAACTGAACCGTCTGCAAGAAACAGTATAGATACAGGTCTATTATCTGGCTTAGGGGGATGAAAATTTCTGTTGTTAAGGGTACTAGCCATTGTGTTGATATAATATATAAGAGTAATGCAGCCAGAATGCAACCTTATTTAATCCCCTTGCTGGTTATCACTGTGTCTGAGAGATGTCCAGCTGTGATACATCTCACCCTCAGATTGGTATCTTTATATGGTGCATATATTAGGGTGAAGAATCATTTATCGATGGTAGAAACTTTTAATTTCTTCCAAAGAATTTCTGTGGAAAAAGAATCAAAGATATGCTTAAAATCAACAACCAGGGGACAAAGAGCTACTTTTTGTGGCTGAGCGTACTTCTCAATCAAGTGAGAGAGAATCCGTCTCTGTTGTATCACCAAGCTGCTGTTCTTCAGTTAGGAAGCTCTCTTCCTCCAACCAATCTAAATGTTTTCAGTAGACTAATAACTTTTCATTTACCATCTATTCCTTAGAATATATTATTTATTTAAGAACACTCTTTGATTGCATTTTAATTAGTATTTATTCTTGTTTTTATTGTAAATAACTCTTTGAGTGAGATGCAGCTGACATATATCTTATTGATTAAGTTCAAAAAAAGAATTATTTCCATCTGGGATGAAGAAACTCTGCAGAATTTGTGGGCAATCTGTTTTCCAATTGACAAGAAATCTTTCATCACATACTTCCCAAATATTCAATCTGTTTTATTACTGTTAATCAGTATTGTTAATGAACAATAAACCTGACATACAGCATGACATACAGGTAGTTCCTGGGTTAAGGACGCCTGGTTTGAGGATTACTGATAGTTAAGAACAGAGCCTACTGTAGTAAAATTGAAATTAAATACAACAATGATTCCAGTTAAATAACAATTTATAATTTGCTGCATGACACAACAGTATTTACACATAAATACCGGCTTACATAAAAATTCAACTGAAGGACAGAGCTTGGGAATGGCACTCATTCTTAAACTGGGGATTACCTGTACAGGATTTGGGGGGTTAAAATCATGCAGTTAAATAACCTAGGCTAGAGATGGAGAGCATGCAAATAGAGCAAATGAATAAATACCTACTCTTCTGAGTCCAACAGGAATTCTTCCAAGTACACCTAATGTCCCCCTCATACCTTCCAGGGAGTAGACAGGTGTGAGGCCTATAAAGAGCTTTATTCTCTCAGAGAGGTAGGGCAGGACTGAAAAAGCAACAAAACCTGCAAAAAAGAAAGAAGGAAGGAAGGAGTTAAAACTGTAAGTTTGCATGATTGCTATAACTTTAACTTCTGCTTACTTTTAGTGCTAGCCTGAAACTTATCCCTCCTTTTGAGAAATTTCCCCCCCCCCATATGAACTCTTAAGGAATTTCTCCCTTTCTGTCTCCCTCACTCTCTGTTTTAATTTAATGCCTCTACCTGACATACTTGATAAAGGGGAGAAACACTTAGATGAAAATGAATCTTCAGTGCGCTGAATGAAGTACTCTTGAATATGCCTTTTTTTCCTCAGAAAGGCCTCACCAACTGATTCCACCAATTCTATATCCATAGAGAACATCTGTTCTCCCCATCTTCCAAGGTCATTCTCACATCACAACCAGCTTCCGACAAGCACAGTCAATGGAAAAGCCAGCAGTGAAATCACAAGTCGCGGTCATATGATGTCTCACTTAATGACCATGGAAATTTGTTTAATTACCACAGGGAAAAGTGACGTTGTAAATCCATCGCGGTCACGTGATATCTTGCTTAAAGATTGTGTTGTTTAGCAACAAAGTTCCTGGTCCCAACTGTGGTTGTTACGTGTGGACTACCTGTACTAAATAGCAAACTGAGGCAATTGTTTGCTGCTTTATAGGCTTTAGTGTAGCATTTGACAAAATTAACAGAGAAATGGTATGGAGATAATTGACATCCTCAAAAAATAAGTATCAATTTACAAAAATACCTGTTTAAGAGTCCAGTTTGGGGTCAACAGAGACATGACAAGTAGGATCAATACTTACAAAGGAGTTGTAAGTTCATACTTACAATCCTGCTGTTTAATCTATACGTCACTGACTTACCAGGACTAACGAAGGATCCTAAAGTACATATGCCTAAGGGACTCAACACACATTGCAACACGCAGATAGCATACTTTGCTATATGCTTATGATATGGTTTTATTATCATATTTGCAAGTTGGGTGGCATAGGTTGTTAAGGAGGCTTGGCTCCTACTATCATGATAATGATCTCATTATTAATAAATGAAACTCAAAGATTGTGGAGTTTGGAAAAAGACATAATAGCCACAGATGGCTATTACAGGGAGAGCTAATAGAGCAAGTTAACACATTTCCTCATTTAGGAATAGTCTTCTCTGAGACTTGTTCTTGGCTCCCTCATCATCAAAGAAGCTCATTCAGAGTGAGGACACATATGAATTCATTGTTAAAATGAGAAAATTACTCTTATTCAGATTCCTTAGTCTAATTATTAAGGTGTATATAGCCAAAGTTAACCGTAGGCTCTTACATGGAGCTGAATTTTGGGGCTTAAAAGAAGTGCCATTACTAGAGCAAACAATCACAGCTGCTGAAGAGAATTTTGGGTGTGGATAATAGGACCTCAGCTGCTGCAGTTAGAGCTGAGCTGGAAATTTATAGACTTTGTTCCTTGTCAAAAATTAGGCCATAAATTACTGGTGGAGAATTAACTCTATGGAAACTGGTAGACTCCCCAAACTGTGTTTGATAGAACTGACTAGTTCTATAGATTTAAATGGAGAAATTCCCAAGCATCTCAGGAGGGTATTTACCTGGGTGAGATTTGAGCAGCTGGATACAATGGTTAAATATGGAAGGTTTAGCCAAGTTCCTTGCCATGAAGGTACATGTATTTGTCATGCTCCAGAAACAGAGGATACAGAACATATATTATTTGAATGCCAGTTGTACAGTAAAGAGAGAGATCAGTATTTTGGACCATACCTTAGGCAAATGGCCCATTGCGATTCATACATTTGAACAATATGTGTGGCCAGAACCCAAATATTACTTATCATATGGCCTTTTATCTGAATAGTTGAGAACTGCATATTTGGATGTGGTTGGGGTAAATTGTAGGGATGAAGCAGAAATATGAATATTGCTTTCTTTAGTTCTGCCTTTTATTCATTTTGCTGTGTATGGTTTGTTTGTTGGTGTGTTTGTTTGTTTATTTATTTATATACCGAATTTGTCACTGCCCATCTCGTTGAACGACAAGATTATTGTTGTCTCTTTGTCATTCTGATATAGCTTCACAGTTAATTAAAAAAGTTGTTATATTTGTTGTTATGGCTGGTCTCACAGTCTGCCAGATGTTAAGACTGGATTTGGCATTTTTATCCATCTATCGAGTCCTTCCCAAAGACCTGGGATAGGCAGATGTTGTTGTTTGATGGAGTTAAAAGTATCATTGCAGGATATAAGCTTTCCAAGTTGTTGCTGTTATTACAGCATATGACATCAGTGGATCTCAAGGAAATAGATTACTCAGGATGAATAGTGAAAGCTTGGAATGCCTCTGGAACCCAATCATACCTACCTGGTAAAGAACCTGGTGAGAAAAGGAGCCAGACTGCAGCAACCTGAGAAGCTGCCAATGCAGGAGCAGTGGCAGGCGGTGGTGACTGAAGTTGTCCTAATTGCTCTGTCGGCTGGGTGACTGCTTGATAGCTAATCTAGGCATCAGATTTTTTCTGATGAAGATCCACTAGATTCTTATCTGATAATACAGTGTTGGTGATATGTTCAGTTGTCAATGGTGTTTCAAGGGGATCATTCACCGTGGTCTGGCTTTAAGGATTCAGAGCAAGTTTCTTCCCTAGTAGGAGTAATGATCTGCGAGAATTAACGTCAGAAACTTCTCCAGTAGTTGTCAAGCCTGGAAACAGTTAATTCTAAGAAGAACTCTCCCAGCTCACAACTCAGCAAGATTTATTAGATTATACTAGTATGCAAGAATTCTGATGGGTATTCATCTTTCAAATAAGAAGTCTAAATATAAATAAATTATGGAGGCAATGTTATGACACTCCCTTCCTTTGGATACAAGGGAGAACATTCTTATTGGTTTTGAGAAGGGCGCCACTTGCTGCCGCAAGAATATTTTGGAAATGGTTTCCAACTTTACCATCACTCTCTGAACCAGCTCCCATAGCTTAGAGACCCACAGGAGAAGAGTTAAAAACAGCAGTGGTTCAGGAAGAAGAATGTTAGAAAAGCAAAGGCCATAAGAAGTTTTAGGACTGGAAAAAGTTAAGTGGAGAAAAAGAGACAAAGGGGCCAGGTAACTGCTCTGGAAAGGTCCCACCTTAGAGCCCTATCTGATGGTGAAAGACCTGCCAGCGAGCTCATAATACTGCATATTGCAAATCCCCAAAGGAGATATTCGTACTTAGTATCTGATGGGAGGTAGCTCCTCAAACTGAAAACCGGCTGCTGGATTGCACTTGCCACAACTAGCTTCAGCAAATATACAGAAAGTGAAGTAGCCATTTGAAGCTGATTGACCTTGGTAGAAGCAAAGTGACCCAATGTAAGCAAAGTGCTTTGCTGCATTCAGGCAAACTGGTACACCTCCATGAAATCTAGCCCCGCTCTGTATTGGCTCAAATGGCATTTATAAATCATTGACCAACATCCTCATAGAGGATATCTGTTAATGGCTCTTAACCTTGATAGATGTTGAAGACATCTATCATAGATCTCTACAACAGAGATGTAGAATGCTGGGTGTAAGATGATGTGCACAAAAACATGCAAAAGTACATACTGTAGTCATTTTCTTGCATTTGCTCATCCCAGTTGAAGAAGGAGTGGTGGATCCTTGGTTGGTAGAAAGAGAAAACAGTTTTCTTATAAAGTTACACCAAGACTATATCCCTAACTTACCTAATGCTGCTCCTTGGGAATGGCCAATATAATACAAACAGTCTTGTTTTGTTTTCTGTAGGATGAAGTTTATTGTTGCTGGTATATCATAAATTGCCATTTCGTGAAAACTGTAACACAAAATACATACAAAACACACCTATGTTATTATCTCTGGACATTAGCGTCGAAGCACTTGGTCAAGGACCACTGATCAAGGCCTTAGAAGTTCTTCAAACCCTACTAACACAGAGAGAATGTACTCTTCCCCATTTAAAAAAAATAATAACTCAAAGTATTGTGATGGTGACAGTGGTTTACAATGAGACATTTTAGAAATTGGAAATTTCAACAGGAATTTATGGCTGGACCCTGGTTGCAGCCCTTAAGGGATAGTATGGCTCTGAATTATTTACAGAAGGGAACTTGTTAGTTTCCTGGTGAAATGTAATAATTTCCACAGCTAGGGTGATCACATTTCTAGCTTTCCTTTTGGCCCACAAGCTTAATTTTTTTTTTTTTTTGTGAGAGGCTGTCACTTACAGTTCAATGATCCACAACATGGGAATCAGCACACCTACCTGACTCCTCGTTTAAAATGAATGTTCCTTCTGCCCATCCCTGTTTTCTAAGTCCACCATTCCATGTTGTTCAGTGACACCTTATATGACTTTAATTCTACTTCTTTTTACGTAGCATATGACTGATTGCAGAAGGAATTAGAAGATTATTTTAGTCATGTGATAATGTGATAAAATGGCTATGTACATGAAATATATGAAATAATTTTTCCCTATCCTACATGTCTTGATTATCAAACAACCTTAGTCTAACCTTAATTTCATATTCAAAAGCTTCAGTAACCCATGATAATGATAATCCCTTAAACAGATTGAAATTGGCATATCTTTTTTCT